CCCCAAAACCCCAAAACCCCAAAACCCCAAAACCCCAATAATTTTTAATAAATTGAAATCAATAAATGCAGAGGAAGAGATTATTCAATGAAGAAGACAAGCACAAGATGTGGAGGATCAACTGGAAATTACTCAGTAAGACCTCTCTAACAATCATGCTTTTCATTGATCCCCTCTTTTCAGTTATTTTTACCAAGTTGGATTCTTGGCAAATTCCCTTGAAATAAAATGCGATGATAAACTTAGATACCGAAGTTATTTCTCCAAAGAAGAAAACCCTCACAATTGATATTCAGGATGAGGAAGATTCTGAAGAATACGAAGAAATACCAGGTATATCCCTTCTCTATTCTCATAGATGTTCCCAAGGATGTTTACTTAAAAGCAGTTCAAGAATATGTTGCTGAAAAAGCAAGAATACACTCTCGAGTCTTAAACTCTATGGGACTGGAGCAGGGTGGAAATAGCGATGAACTTTGCCTTGAAAACCCTGGGGTGCACTCCACCTTCAAACCGAGTACAAAGAGTAATTAAAGTTTCTTATAAATCTAGAGCCTTTTAATGCGCTGAATTGAGACACACATTTAAGCAAAAGTTCGTCCAAACTTAGTGTATGTTTTGTCGTGAGTCTGAGTAATCCAGTCTAGACATTGGGAAGAAGCAGGAATGTAACTTTCTCTCAGACCAGGACAATCAGGCGGGGTGCCACAACTCTCCACCATTACAGTTTGCTCAACCAAATAAGGCTGAATAAAAAGTCCTTAATAGTCTCAGAAGATTCCTTGCCTAATATAAATAAGAAGAGAAGGATGCTCCCACAGATTTTCAAAGAGAAAGAAATGTTTTCAACAATGGAGCCACTTAGCCCGAGGAAATGATTTGCTCTGTCTCCTGATAGAATGGCTCAAAGGGTCATGGAAAGCAAGTTGGGCTTTACGGGTAAGTATTTCAAGAACTAATATTGGAGAATGTCTTCAAACTGAAATCATGAAAAGGGGTTTTGGGGTTTTGGGGTTTTGGGG